ACGTTAAGTTACTCCATTCTCCGCTTGTAATTATGCCGTTACAAGCTTCAAAGTTGTATTTATCATCTGAATTTGCCGAAACAAGTTTAATATTCTGAAAGCCAAGACTTTGTTTAATTGAAATCAGATGAAAACAAACTGTAACGGACCCTGCCGTGTTATTTATGATTACTCTAAGCTTACATTCATAATTTCAGCCGGAGGGAGGGGGGGCGGCGCTGCGGAAGAGCTTTACAAGCTTAAAGAATGTATTTATCGTGTGAGTTTGGAAATAAAAGTTTCATATTCTGAAAGCCAAGACTTTGTTTGTTTAAAATCAAACAAAACACCCGAANTTACTATGGCAACAAATGTGTTCATTTTCTTCATTATTAGTCGATTTTTTTAATGCAGACATATGTTGCAGGGACTACTAGAATCATCATACTGGCGTGACTGTAAACATCAAGGGGTTAAATAAAAAAAATTGTTTGTTTTTTTAGAGGACATTTCAGAATATCGCGATATATATATATATCGTATATCGCGATATAGTCAGTAAATATCGCGATATCATTGAGAGACCATATCGCCCAGCCCTAGTTAACGGTGAGCTTTATTGTTATTGACAAAGAAAGCAATGTTGTTTCCTTGACAAATTATTTCTTGGTAGCTGGTTCATAATTCTTTATGCAAGACAGGGCCTGTATCTTGGCATTACATGTTATGATTCATTTAATTTTATGACAAAATAAAACGTAATCCTTTGATGATGGCCGGATGAAATGCATCACAATATATTTGTGTATATATATATATATATCTTCCAATTGGCATGTTTTCTCTAAAGACTCGTATTTCATGAAACTGTTTTCAAATATAAAATGACCCTCATGGTTGCCTTTGTTTTTACTGAGTTGAGTCATACACTTCAATGTGTACTGTAAAGCATGATCCTTTCTAACTGTATTACATACGATATACATCCATTCTGTCTCTGGGGATGCCCCACCTGTAGGATGCTGTTCAAATAGCAGGTGTTGCCCAGGTTGTTGAGCCCCACAAATGGCACCAAGGTCTCCCTCTTATCAGACGACAGGAGAAGGCCAGGTGAGGCAGGACATGTAGAAGGACCGGGCACCACCTGATCACAGCTGCTGCACAGTGGAGACCACAATATAATTTAAATTTAAATTAAAGACAAACATCATCAAACATCAGCTATTTGTTTCATCCCTACAGTTTTACTGGGGCTGCACTCATTAGCCATGGTTGTATCTCTACCCAAATATCAATATAGAAGATATCCTTGTCTACATATAGTTTCCTCACAGGATTTTGAAATGATCAGACAATGTGATGTAATTGTGTTAAGTGACTGGCTGGCATGTATTTGGCAAGGACCAACAGACAGCATAACTGCACACGTCATACTTCAACAAAATGTCTGGTTATATCAGTGTTTTGAACTTTGTATGACCAAAAATAAAACCACAATGACAGCCCATACGCACCTCGCTTCAGGCTCCACATGTTCAACGGTTTTGGGCTCATCTGCTTGAGGTTCAGAGAAATCCAGAGCCCGTTTAGCTTCTTTCTTCTGAAGGAACTTCAGAGACAGTTTGCTCTTCTTCACGGGGCTCGCCACCGCAGCATATTCCCCCTGCGGACCTGGCATCTTTCTTCAGGTACCGTCACCTTAAGGAGGATATTTTTTCTCTACAGAGAAGCAACAGCGCACCTCACTGGTAAAAGATAAAAAACACAGTTGTATTTCAGTGGGCGCCATCAGAGTTCAACGAGAACGAAAGTAACACTGCGCAGTTAAGTAACTAGGGTACAACCGAGTGAGTGGACCATTTTAACGTAGACATCTCTGGTTCACTTAAATCCAAACCGGTTACCGAGTGAATAACGAATAATATATATGTTAGGCGGCTAACGCTAACTGCACCTTCATTTACATTTGAAATGTAACCGTTAACAGGAGGAACCGTCGTGTTATGCGCGTTTGGAATTAGCAATGGCTTGATGAACAGCGAGTAATAATCTGCACTTTGCAGACAACACAGCCTAAACTGGGTCAAAACGGTGAAGAAGTGGGAGGAGAAAACAGCAGCACGCCGTTTCTAACAGTTCACTTCCACAAAACTCACTCTCAATATCCCTACAGTGTCTACAGGTCTGTGATGCTTACCTGGATGAGTCATTCCTGATAAAACTTTAAATATGTCACGAAATATCCAGTCTTAGAGATATTTACACGGAGATATTTACAGAGTGTTTGGCGATTCAGGCAATGCAGCAGCAGAAGTTGCCGCTTTTTCCTGAAGGAAGACCGACTGTCGGCTACACTGCCGGGAAACACCGACACGAAAAACACAACATCTGTCAAAAATATCAAATGAACAGCCACTCCTTGATATTGAACGTATATCTGACGTATACGTGAAGCTTGTAAATTTGTATAAAATTGATTAAAAATGTATAACTATCAAGAATCACACTTCATAAAGCAGGCGCATATTTAGTCAACTTTTTTATTTAGGACCCAATGGCTAGCTTCAGGCGCCATTTGTGTAGTCCTCTATCAAGCTGCATAAAGTTAGATTGAACAACATCTACAACAACTGTTGTAAATTCTTCATTAAAATTAAAGTGAAAAAGGACTTGATTCACCATGAATCCATCACATGATCTCCAATTAATTATTTCATGTACAACTAAAGAGGAACATATTTGTAATGGCATTGAATTGCAGTTAATCTAATACATTTGTAGTTTAACTGCAGGACTTACTTCTACATTATCCAGTACATGCATAACAAAAACAAACGCTTTTATTTTGAAGAGAGTAAACGGAAGTAAGGTTATACTTGGGTGGAATTGACAACAATCCTTCTGCAGAACTCAACATCAAAACGATAAGTTTATGCTTTTAACATGATTGAGACGCGTGTCCAAACACTAACTATAAACTATACATGTATTACATTCATATAAATACATTTATTTTACATGAACACACCGAAGAAAACAGCTTGTAAGTAACAGTGAACGGTTACAATCGGTTTTAAGGGGCAGTGTTCACCGTCAACCGGCAGGGAGCGACATTGTTCATATAAATGAAGGTTAACGTACCCAGCATCACTCTCCTCCACTGGAGCATCTCTTCATCTGACAGGCAGCACAGGCTACCCTTCCGCAATTCTTACGGTAAGACACTATTTACGATTTCCAAGCTTTCTGCGTGAATATATAAACTACAATCTGCTTGAAAGGCGAACAGTTAGAGTGGCCTTTCTAATCTCTGTTTCGGTTTATGACGCCTATCAGTTGTTGTGTTTTAATTTGAGTGGGGCTCGAGAGTGTTGTTGCCGGCGTGCGTTTTATCATACGGGAAGGTTCGCAGCAATTGAATGTATCCCAAAAAGGATAGGACATGTGTGTCGTTGTATTGCATACAGACAGTATGGGCATTTGTCAACACGATGGTACATGTATGCAGGACGATCCGCTGCTGCTGCTGCTGCTGCTGCTGCAGAGTGGTGCTTGGTCAGCAGCACAGTTGTATTGATGGATATTCAGCTTCCAGAATCCACTCTATTTTCTGGGTTTGCGATCAAGTGATGTTGCAGTAAAATGCTGTTACAGTAGTGGATGGGAGTACATTACACTAACAATGTGTTAGTGGTGGATGGAGCTACAGCATGTTATCACAGAATAGGTCATCTCTGTTATGGGTTGGCTTTCAACAGTATATCTTAACTAAATTAGTGTACCAGAAATCCATGTCTCAGTTGAATTGGGTTTGGAATTATATTATACCCTATGTATGATGAATAATACTTGAATGAAATGGATTTCATCACAAATGTAGTATACAGCAGGCGATTAATCCAGGGAGCACTAGTTGGGAGATGTTATGTTCTCTCACATCCCATCTAAAGCCCTATCAGGAGATGCATTATAAAAAGGGATTACTGTGCCTCACTTCCCTCATCACCTCCTGATAACATCATTTTCTCAAGGGGAGCATTTTTTTGCCTGTACTCTGAACAAGGCAGATCCTGTGCCATGCATGTCCTAAACTCTGTGAAATCAACACAATGCCTGGTTTTGATTGGCTATTGCAATACACTGGATGCAACAGGATTGCCACTGAACAAGGTCATTGGACGGATTTGAGAAAATGAAATGGTGGCAGAGATTGAGCCTTCCTGAAAAGGTTTTTTATTGAGACATTCAGAGGACATGAACAACTGATTAAAAGAAGAAACAAAACATCCACCTGTTCCTAATTTAGACAAACTACTACTAATGTGACTGCAAACATTACAGAGATATTGCCACTTATTGGCGGACCCCACAAGAATGTAACCCCTAACCTGAAGGAGTAATGAGGACCATTCTCCATGCACCAAGCAATAGAGGATGTCTTTATCAAGGCCGGCTTTGTCCCAGGAGGCACTGAGCTCTCAGGGCCGGAGCAGCAGAGGTTGGCAGCTCAAAGACCTGGTCCATGACACAAAACACCCCTTCCTCCGGCATCCACCCATCGCCTCCCCCATGAGAGGAACACTGGAGGGAAAATGAAAGCATGTTGAGCGACAGGCAATGCTGCACTCCAAGAATGAGAAGCATGCCCTGAAGTCGACTTAAGTTTACCTCTACCTCTCAACAACAAACCCCTCTCTACACACAAGCGTCTTCTTTTCGTATTTTTTTTTGCAGGCCTGCAGGGTACGGCAGTTTGCTCCTGCATTTAGTCTAAGCTTAGTAAGCTGGCTGCGGGCTATAGATTCATATACAGATATTAGAGTGGTATCAGACTTGTCATTCATCTCTCCATAAGAAAGAATATACACATACTTTACAAAATGTAAAACTTTTCACAATCACTTAGTGCCCAAAACAGAAGCGTTTTTAACACAGAAATACAGAATGACACATGCAGTGTCCTTACTTACGTACATGTCAGAAGCAGAAACCATCAAATGCAATTGTGCTTGATTAACAACCCAAAATGATTAGCTATTTTTGAAATTATTTGAACATATATTGTCTATATCTTTAGACATAGAAGTGATTTATTCCATCTTAAATATTTTAGTTGGAAGGATGTTTAGAACCCGGAAGGCGTGACAATATCCAGTATTTTCCAAAGTTAATTAACTTTTTAAGCTCTTTAACTTACTAAGGGCTTTTTTGCCACAAAGACTGTTATTGCTCTCCTCTCCTATCAGACACAGTATTTATTTTCACAGAGCGCCACGGCTGACATCTCACACAGGCTCTTTGGAGTCCAGAGAGGGTGCCTCAAATCTGCCACTAAAAGCGGGTTAATGAGATCCTGTATGAGTGTATGCAAGTGTGCATAACCTCACATGCATATGTGCATATCAGATCAGGAGGATTTCTACCTCCTCTCTCTCTCTCTCTCTCTCTCTCTCGCCCCTTCTCTCTGCATACTTTAGAGCATCTGAGCAACTCCCATCTGATGCATGCTGACGATGTGGGTGTATCCAGCCCAGCCGCTCTGATGTTGGGAAGCGGTAACTCTCGCATCCTACTCAGTCTGCTCTCTACTCTCCGCTCTCTTGTTTCAGCCGGTCTGTCTGCCCTCTAACGTAGTACTCTCCTTTCACTCACCACTATTCATCACCATCCAGGATACATTTACACAAACCCACGCAGGTAGATATCATACTGTCCCAGTGGACTGAAGAGTTTGCCTGATAGATACAAATATATGTGTATCACTTTGGAAAGAGCCAGACAGTGGGAATCTGTAGTGGTGCTTTTGAAGCTTAAGTTTTCTCCCCAATACGTTTTTTTTTTTTGTCCCAAAGGATACCACACGCAGCTGCAGAGGTAAGACAAGGATAGATGTGCTCTGCACTTTTTGCTATTTTCTGGTTTGCACTCACTCTTTCTCTAGTTCTTGTGTACCTCCTTTCTCATCCTCTCCTATTTACTCTATTGTCATGAAGTATGTTTTGTAAGTTATTATATTCATTCATTCTCTGCTCTTCCTTTTATTTCACAATGTCAAATATGTTGTGCTCTATTTTCTTATCTCTGTCTCAGTGCAGTTCATTTAAATGTCATTATTGAGTTGAATCAACATTTTCAAACCAGCACACATTTATATACAAGCCAGCCACGCTGTTGTCCTCTTTCTCTCTGCGTGCTGATAATGTTTATTATTCGGATATTCTTGTGTCTGCGTGGTAATCAGATGCCGGGAGGCATGTACGTACATATTTGTGCACATGCTTACAAACATAATGACAAAGGGGATATCATTATCTGTCTGTTTGTCTTTGACGTCTCTTATACCGTTGATCCCTTCTCCGAGGCATTTTTTTAGGTAAATTCCCTTCTGGCCTGACTAATGTCTTTCAGCTGGTGCACATTCATATGTTTAAACACACACATACAGTAGAATGCATGCTAACCAGTCAGTGGATGGAGCTGGAGGAAATAGGGAGTGATGGTTGTTGTTTAGAGGGTTTCATTTGCAACTTTTGCATGGTTGCATCCTAGCGATCTGCAAGCATTCACTCCGCATCTTTGCTTCTCTTGCAATTCCTCCATTTCTCTCTCTCTGTTTATGGCAAAACCTCGCTGTCTCTCTCTATCTCTGCTCTTTTATGGTGTGCATGTATTCTCAGTTAGTCTTGGTCACTGCTCTGCCCGCCTGCCACAGAGCATTGTCCTTGGTTGGTTGGATAGCCGCAGCTACACAACATTAAAAAGGCAAAGTGTTCCTGTTACATGTGTTTACAGGGTTTCACAATGTGTATGAGTGTGTGTTTTATGCTGCATTCACTGACATTACGAACTCTCCATCCCTTCTCAGGTTAAAGGCCACGTTGTAATTCTTACAAACACAAAAACACACACACTCACTGCCCTTAAAGATCTGGCGGACTCGCATTAGCGTACAGTCTCCCACTGTTTGTGTGTTTATTTTGAATATGTGTTTGTGTGTCAGTGTGATTTTCTTGGAGGTGCAGAGAGGTGACTCATACCAGCTCTCATGCTGGTGGCTGCTAGATGCATTCACTGTAACCTTGCCATGATATGCAATTTGCAAATAAGAATTGTCTGATGAAAGCATGTATCTGTGAAATGTCAACTCTTCAAGAAATGATAACAGACGGGCAGACACATTTTTAGCATATACATCATGAATATTCAAGGTTATGGACAGCTTTTAAAAAAAATCCCAAATCTCATAGAATTCTCTAAACACAAATTTTATAAACAGTGGGTCGGTCACCCTATCTCCATAACAAT